TTCCCGAATCGACGTGCGTAGAGCAAGAGGGCGCTAGGACTAGCGTACGAGTCGACATCACGTCGTTTTTTAGACACTCGCCCAGCCCCGAGGTCAGACCCGCCAGGACGAGAGTATATGTAACGTCCCCACGGCATCCCGGCGATCCCTCCCCCGTGGCGCTCCCCTCCTGCCGTCCGAGTCGAGTCGCACGAGCTCCTCGCCTTCCTCGACTCCGGAAGCGCCGCCAGCATCATCCCGGCGTCGTCCCTAGGCAAGTGTAGTGCGCCCTCTGCCTGCGCACCCTCACCACGGATCGTCCGCGGCGCCAGTGGTTCTTGCCTTGACGTCGTCGGCGAGGTCTCCCTCACCATTCATCTGTCCGGCACGACGACATCGCACCCATTCGTGGTCATCGAGGGTCCCGCCGTCCCAGGGGAGATTCTCCTGGGCCACGACTTCATGGCCGGACGGGCCTCTACCAAGTTCCCTCACAAGAACATCGCTGTTCACAACAAACGCATCTACGCCCTCCACCCCCCCCCCCGAGAAGGGCATGGCGCAGATCACACTGCCACTCGGTTACAAGTAGAGTCGCGACCCCCACAGCTCCTGCCAGCAACGAGGTCACTACCGGTTCCCCGGACGTAAACACCACCACCGCCACTCCATCAAGCTCCACGCGTCAACCACAGGTCACACCCACACCATCAAACCCTTCTCACTCACCAGCCGCCACAGGGCCCACATGGACCCCTGCGTCCGACTCCCCCTTCTGTCAGGTCAGTGAAACCACGGTGCTCCCGCCATTTACGGATTGCATAGCGCCTGTAACCGTACGACCCACGTCCGGCACTGTACTAGTACTACCTGAGGGGATACGCGTGCACGGGTTGCTCGCCCTACCCGCCGTGTACGACGCACCAGACGGACAGTTCCCCCTACGCCTCAGAAACGCACAGTCCGCTTCGAACGAGCAACAAGGGTACTCGACTGCGAGATCACGCACCTTCCGGTTGTGATAGTGGACGACGCGGCCCCCACCTTCCACACCTCCGTCACGCCCAGCACCGAGCCAACGCCACCCGCCGACACAACCTGCGGAAAGACACAGGGACACGGCATCACAGCTGTCGATTTCGCAGAGGGAGCTGCGATACTCGATGGACTTTTCAGGGAATTCCCGCTAATCCTGCCCTCCGCGCGCCCCATCGGTCGTGGACCATCCACTTGCAGAAAGACGCCAAGCCTGTCTACATACCAGCATACCGCGTCCCACATAGCCGACGGCAGGCTTTCGGAGAGCAGATCGACAAGCTCTTGGAGGACGACCACATCGAGCCGAGCACTTCACCCTGGAGCGCACCCATGATCCTGGTGCCGAAGGACGGATCACTCCGCCCTGGCATTGACTACCGCAAGCTCAACGCTTTAACCATCCCAGACAGGTTCCCCATCCCATCGTTACGCTCACTGCTACAGGACGTCGGCAAAGGTCACGCGCTATTCTCGACCCTGGACTGTCTCATGTACCTACCCTGCACCTGGACGTGCTGGATAGAGAGGACGTTAAGTCTCGTCAGCGCCAGGACCCCACCTACGGCAAGCTAATCGACATGTTAGAGAGGAACCCATCCGCACCACTACCCGGGCGACCCCACGTTCCAACCAGCGATTTGTATCTGGAGGTGCATATCCGCCGGTACGCACCGTCAGCACCCGACCTTGTTGTTGCTCATTTGCCGCGCTGGCTACGTTACTCCGAATTCAGCGCGCACTCACTGTACTAGCCTCCCTGTCAGACTGTAATCCTTTTGTTGTTTGCTATTACATGTACTCCATTATATCTAGCATGTTATTTTTTGTAGCGTTTTAGTTTATTTTACATTTTTTGTAACTATTCATAGGGCTTATTATTTTCGTATATTATACATTGTATTCTAGCTAGCATAGTTTTTTGCGCCTTATTGCATTCTCTGACTAGTGTATATGGCGGAGGACCGCCACGGTAGCGTGACAGAGCGATGTACTAGAGCTCTACTCTACATGGTTTTGCACTCTCGGGCCTGGTCCCTGTAGGCGTATGCGCTCACCCTTTCCCCCCTCCTACTATTGCCAATACCTATACTATACCACATATCCTTATACATGCCCTATACAAGTACATCAGCCACACGTACCCACGCCTAAACATTCACCGGAATGGCAGCTCACACCTTCCGCCTATGACGTCTCACTCTGTTTACACCGTCACATCCTCTCCCCTTCCGCCTCTCCCACCTCTGACACGATATGGCACCCTCTCCACATTCCACATAGACCGTGTACAAAGCTGGGTCGCCTGCGAGCGACAGACAGACAGCCACCACCCCAGTGTACAGATTGAACCTCTGTCCAACCTTTGTACCAGCCTCCCGCAATAAACTTGTCAAGCAGAAGACCAGAAGTCTCCCTATCCGCTCACAAGACTGTCTCGCAGCAGACCTCATCAGGACGTGAAACTCGGCACGGCACACACAAC